GTAGGGTAGTAAGTACGGTTTAGGCACAATCTTAGGACCTGTCTAAGTACTACTGCTGAATTAATTACACACACAAATTGTGTAATATATTTTAAAGATTTCAATCTTTTAGAATATAGATATAGGGGCAGATCACCCCAACTGTAGAAACATACCTTAGAATCAGGTGGCCGTATTACCTACTGCGACATTGGACCTCGGTTTATACGGTCTCTCCCAAAGGACCTGTCCACCCTAAACAGTGGGATTCGATAAATTAACGGAACGTGTTAATTACATGTTTTCTCTATATTCATATTATGCATTAAAGAAAATTATTATCAGTATTCTCTATTTGACGCTGATTTTAGAATTTTATTTTTTCGTTGGGAAGGGGGGGGGGTGATCACTGATTCTAATTTCGGTAGAATAAATTATGAACGCGACAAGCGCGGATTTAAACAGGGCTTACTACATTTAAAAGGCCAAGATAAATTAACTGAACGTGTTATTTACATGTTTTCTTTTCTATATTGAAATAATTAACAGTGATTTCTTTTCACTGATACTGTAATGTCTTTGAACATTTTTCCCGGGATAAATGCTACGCACCACGTACAGTGAAAATTAGATAAATAAGCTTAACATTAACTCCTTTATTACGTTGGACATTTAAACCGTGCGGACGTGTTTTTTGTGCTCCGCTATTAGGCTTGTATTCTCTTGTGTTTCTTATGATTTTGTGAAAGGATTTTCATAGATTCTCTGTGGGTGTCTTACAGTGGGTGAGTTTGTGAAAAATTATAATTTGAAAAAAGAAAATTATATGAAATGGGAGAAAGGAGACGCCGTAAAAAGAGAAGAAAGGGGTCGACTGGGAACGTGAGTGAAACTCATGTAAGTGTAAGCGAAGGTGAAGGTGAAAACTCTTCACTAATGAACGCATTGGAGTCGGCGAATCGGATATTGTATGGGACACCTAATGATGATCAAAACACATCTACGCCTATTGCCACAAAACCCAGCGTTGAAGTGAACGACGATATTAGACAGCAAATTTGTGAAAACACTAAAATGTTGAATATGATTTTGCAGAAGCTGCATATTTTAGATGAGATTCAAGCCAAACTATTGCGAATAGATAGTGATGTGACAAGCATTAAACAACAGGTCAGTGAAGTCACGAATAAAGCAAGTAAATTAGAACATTCGGTAACCTTTATATCGGATACAATTGATGATATACAGAAGCACGGAGGTGTCAACGCAATTAGAAACAAACTGTCTGTTGTGGAGGCTAAAACAACTGATCTTGAAAATTCTGCACAGAATACTCATAGTCGACTATCAGATATCGAAAACCGTGAGGTTGACGTACAAGCAGTGAGGAATGTTATATCAAAACTTGACTGTGAAATGAAACGTCACTCGACTATGATTGAAAGTAGGGCGCGCTGTCTGGACAATGTAAGGAGAGAAAAAACGCAAACAGATGAACGCATTACAGGTTTGCAATATCATACAATGAAAATGAACTTGGTATTCACAGGAGTATGGGGTGAATCAAGAGGCGAGAACACAGAGCAGAAATTGCGTGCGTTCTTAATGAACGAATTGGACATTGACTACCACATAGAATTTGTAAATATACACAGTTTTGGCAGATTCCAGAGAGGAAAACCCAGACCAATTGTCGCACGTTTCATATACCAGGCAGACATTGACGCGGTGCTGGAAAAGGCCAACTGGCTGAGGGGGACACCATATAGAATCCATCGTCAGTTCCCGGCTGCAATGGATGAACGACGCAGGTCTCTGATTCCCGTGATGAAACAGTTTATAGAAGATGGTGCAAATGTTAAACTTGTGCGCGATCGTTTAATCGTGAATGGTCAAGTATACGACCCAGACAGTTACGATTGCGAGCCAACAGAACCTATGAACTATGCTCGAGCTGTGCAGAGTGGCGCAAATTCCAGAGAAGAATCTGATCCGATTCGATAGGGATGCGCGGCCGCAAAGCCCAGGACAAATACGGAACAGTACGGAAGCGGCCAGGACTGTCCATATGGTTTAAATATTTTTTCTTGGAATGTAAACAGGTCTATTGTAAATAAGCTAGAGGATAAGAATTTTGTTGAAGTTATTCGAAAATATGATATTGTATTTTTTTCTGAATGTTGGATTGATAAAAATCATAATTTTTCAGATCATATTTTAAGTTCAGTATTTGACATAAATTTATTCCATAGGAGTAAAGGAAAAGGTGGGGGCCTTATCTTATTGATCAAAAAGCACCTAGCTAAGAGTATACATATTTTGAAATGTACATATGATACTGCTATTTGGATAAAAATAGACAAAAGCCTTGTTGTATGCCCTAAGGATGTATTTATATGTTTGTTGTATATTCCACATGAAAATAATGTTTATTATAATCTGTATGATAAGAATATTTTTGAGGAGTTGGAATATGATATGTTAAATTATAGTGAATTGGGTTTAATTGGTCTAATTGGAGATTGGAATAGTCGAGTGGGTACTCAGACAGATTACATAGAATCTGATAAAATTACGAATGTGCTACGTAGAACGCTGGATGATATTTTTAGTTATGATTCAGATAGATATATGCCAGCGCGTTTAACAGAAGATAGTAATACTAATAATTTTGGTAAACGTATGATTGAAATGTGTAAATCTTTTGGTTTGAGAATATGTAATGGTCGAAAGCCAGGAGATATTAATGGTAAACTGACTTTTTTTAATCACCGTGGATGTAGTGTAATAGACTATGCAGTAGTTGATTATGAATTGTTTGGTCATTTGGTCGATTTTAAAGTTCTTGATTTTAATGAATGGTCTGATCACGCACAAATATTCCTTACTTTAAAAAAATGTATGGAAGAACCACTGGACCAAACTTCTCAGAATTACAATAGGATAAGTGGTACAGGTTACTTTTATAGATGGAATCAAGATAATATATCTGAAATGAGAGAGAATTTACAAAGTGTTTTACACGATTTGAATGGCATAGTATCCTCTATGGAGAATGGGGTCGATATCTCGGAATCTATCTCTAATTTTACACATTGTCTGAACGAGGTTTTTGAGCCATATTGTAAACATAATATTTGTAATAAACAAAAACATAAGGAAGTAGTTACGAATAAACCATGGTTTAATGAGAGATGTAAAGAGCTGTATAGAATTTACAAAGAGAAACTTTTCATATTCAATGTATGTAGAAGTCATTTTAATACACAATTATTGATTGAATGTAAAAACGATTATGAAAAATGTATGAATAAGGCAAGGTGTGAGTTTAGGCGATGTCAAGGTAGCCAGTTAGAATATCTGAGGCGTACATATGTACTTCGCCTAGGGAGTTTTTTAACTTTTTTAAGAATCGTAAGCCACAAAATAACTGTAATCTTAGTGTAGAAGATTTTTTTTATCATTTCAGAAATCTAGGTGTCTGTAAAGATGCTACAAAGAGTGATTTTTTGAATACAGAATATGATATGAATGCTGTATTTGATGAACTAGATGTTAATATAACTGTTAAAGAAGTTGTAGATGTTATAAACAGTTTAAAAAGCAGAAATCGCCAGGAAAAGATAATTTGATAAATGAATATTTTAAATATATGTGTGAAGACTTAAGTCCACTTTTAACGAGAATATTCAATGTTATTTTTGATACAGGTAATATTCCCCTCACATGGTGTGAAGGTGAAATAGTACCTATTCTTAAAAAAGCTGATCCAGATGTAACAGATAACTATAGGGGCATTACCCTCATGAGTTGTATGTTAAAAATATTTACGACTATACTTAATAATAGACTGATGAAATGGTCCGAAAGCAACTTTATTTTAACGGATGCACAGTTTGGATTCAGACCTGGGGTTGGTACTATAGATGCAATTTTTGCACTGCAAAGTATAATTGATAAACATCTCTCAAACGGGAAAAAACTCTACTGTTGTTTTGTAGACTTCCGTAAGGCATTTGATAGTATAAATAGAAATTATCTTTTTAAAAAGCTAATAGCATTAGGAATCAAGGGGAAAATGTTTAACAGTATATGGTCTCTGTATAAGAATGTTAGGAGTTGTGTGAAATACAAAAACAATTTTAGTGACTTTTTCAAAGTAGAACAAGGAGTCCTTCAGGGAGAAGCACTGTCTCCACTACTTTTTTCTTTATATTTAAATGATTTTGTGAATGCTTTTATCATGTCCAATTGTCAAGATATTAGTCTCCAAGAAGTGTCATTGTTTTTAATGTTATACTGTATACAGGGTTATTTTCGCCCCGTGTTATTTTCGCCCTTTTGCATTTGTGAACAAGTTTTCCCCATTTTAAATTCGCCCAGCCATAGTTCTGTTTAAGAAATTATGCCGTGTTATTTGTATTCGCCCCGTTTTAAATTCGCCTAATCAAGAAGAGGGCGAAAGGGACGAAAATAAAACGGGGGCGAAAATTTCCCTGTATACAGTATGCAGATGACATGGTATTGTTTTCCGATTCTCCTGAGGGATTACAAAAAATGCTTGATGTGCTTTTCTCATATTGTAATGATTGGAAATTATCTGTAAATGTAAGTAAAACTAAAATAGTAGTATTTAGAAAATCTGGTCGATTAAATCCAAATATTAAATGGTTTTATAATGATGAGGAAGTTGAAGCTGTTAATCAGTTTACTTATCTTGGTCTTACTCTGACATACACAGGTAATTTTCATAAAGCTCAGCTAAAATTGGCTACTCAGGGGAGGAAATGTATGTTTAAACTTTTGAAGTCTATGAAAAATGTGCAATTTTAATTATGTTACTCGTCTGTCTTTGTTTGATACTTATGTAAGTAGTATTTTGAATTATGCAAGTGAAATATGGGGATTTCATAAAGGTGATGCTATAGAGAAAAAACATTTAGAATATCTCAAAATTATGTTGAAAGTGAGAAAAAATACTTCGTCATTGATGATTTATAATGAACTTGGTCGCTTACCTCTTTTTATTCAAAGAAAAGTCCGCATTATAAAGTTTTGGCTTAAACTATTGGAGTCAGAAAACTGTATATTAAAAAGTATTTACCAAGATATGCTTGAAAGAATTGAGACAAGTTCGTGTACAAAATATAATTGGTTACTTAATGTAAAATATTTATTATTTTCAGTAGGATTTGGAGATGTTTGGTATTGTCAAAATATTACAAACAAAAATATATTTTTAAAAATTTTCAAACAAAGATTAACTGACTGTTTTCAACAAGAGTGTGATGCTTTTTTTCTTCGTCTTCAAAGTGTTTTGTGTATAGATATTTAACAAATAAACTGTGCATGCAATCCTATTTAATGAAACCAATTCCATCCAAGTATATTCAATTGATTACAAAATATAGATTAAGCGCACATTTATTAATGATTGAGAAGGGAAGATTTACTCATATTCCTAGGGAGAATAGATTTTGTTTTTGTTGTCAAATGGAGGTTGAAGATGAGTATCATTTTATTTTAAAATGTCCACTTTATCATGAGTACAGGAAATTGTATATTAAAAAGTATTATTGGTATAGACCTAGCATGTATAAACTATTACAATTATTATCAACTGAAAATGTGAGTGAACTTTGTAATATAGGGAAATTCCTTCAAAAAGCAGAATCACTTAGAGATTTACACCTGTAACTGATTATTTTTTCTCTGTTTGGTTGGAAATATTGTATATAACAAGCAGTATTAACTTAAAGGAAGTATATGTGAATATTTCATTTATGTATATTAATTCTGTGCTTTACAGCAAGTATTTTGTAATTATGTTATCTGATAAGTCATATGACTTAAGGAATAAATAAATAAACAAACAAACAAACAAACGATATACTTTTCTCAATGTCCAAAAAAAAAATTTGCGCTAGTGTAGAGAGGGTCCTTAAAACATTTACAGTTAAACGCCCTGATGCTAATTTGAAATTCAATTTCAGTTATCGACGCGGAGTTTTTAAAGCTGTGAGTTAAAAGCTTTTTAATTAACTTTATTCTTCAGGGTCCGGTTGTAACAACATTTAATGAATGAATAAAGCATCATTAAACTTGCATTGTGGGATATTCCCCTAATGTTAATAAATCTTTAATGAATTCTTTAATATTTAATGATTCATTAAGTAATAAGACTCTAATAAAGGTTTTGTACAACACACTTTAATGACTTTATTAACTAATGTATCATTAAGAATTTAATGAATCATTAGACTTAATCATTCATTAAATTTAATGAACCGTTGATAAAACTGGGTCAAGATTTTCTAAATTTACCTTCATTAAAGTTCTTGAGATTGATAAAGGAAAATACGAATAAATACCTAGAACTATACGGAAACCTGTAGTATATGTTTCTAATTATAACTTCGCTCCAGAATATGATACATGTACAATCATTCAAAAATTCTGAAAAGGGATATGAATAAATCACTTCACTGACTTACATTTCTTGTGTATCCCATCATATATAGTCGTATCCTCCATAGTGACGTGAGTCAGTATGTTCATCTGTAGACGGGGTATCAGTAATTTATCACTGTAACCAGGACTAATGACACACTTCTCTCCAGGTTTTCTGTTGTATCCCTGTGATCTCAGGTACACACTGGCTGTGTCATAACTACTGTAATAGAATGGTATACGAATGTCTGTTGATGCTATCCTATACATTGTCTCATCCTTTGTGTCCTCCGTTATCTTCTCCTGATCTTCCCAAAGGTAATCACGTGACTTCAGTCTGTCCAGAGTCTGTTGTGCTTCCTCACGTGTTACGGGGTTGTCTTTATAGTACGCTAACTGTCGTATCTTATTAAGCCTGTCCAGCCACTCTGTGTCAGTGAAGTCAGTAAGATCGGAGTCAGAACACAGAATACAGAATAACATCAACACCTCGTCATATGTCAGTGTGGAGAACTCATCTAGAAAAATAAAATGAAATATCATGAGTAACTATCCACAAGAAAAAGTCAGTATTTACAACATAAAATTCATGGATTATACCGGTATTCTTGCCCTGAAGTTGTATATACAAACTTGTAATGTTCCTCTATTTAAAGTCGCCTTTTGTTAATTTCATAATTGTCAGAT